GAATTTTGCTCAACAAATAAACAAATGTGTTTTACCCGACCTTTCTTACATTTTATTGCTTTATTATATCTGCCCCTTCGGCCTTGTTTAGACAATTTTTACCACCGTACAAATACATCTTCCTAGAGTTATTTGTACGGTGTGTTTAACTTTTTTTAGAATGGGACGAACTGTAAATAATTCTTAGGCTACTAGTTTTATACATACCTATATAGAGAGTGACCCAGGCCTCCAAAAAAGCTTTTTACCTATTACGTTTTTGGTTTTTGATTTTTATTTCTTTTTTTTACATAAGATGGGGGCCATTGTAACGCACATTTTCAAAATATTTTTGTCAACATACAGGGTGATTCAAACCGCAATACATATGCTTAATACAGTTCATGAAGATTAGGACATTTAACTAAAATTTGATTATCTGATGAAGCTACCTTTAAAAGTAAAGGATTTGTAAATAAACGTAATAGGTACTTATTATTATGCGACAGAAATCCCATACTGTAGCACACAGATTTGATACTTTTAATGATAAATGCCTTCTATTGCGAGACTAAAAGGCAATTGCCTCGTATCAGAGCCATCATAATATAAGAAGAAGACCGAAAGTCAAATCTTGTCTTATTTTTCAAAAAAAAACACAATTTTCTCATTAAATATTGATTTTAGGTATAGGAAGTTATTAATAATACAAGATTAAACAACTATTACACAGTACTTCACAGGAAGCTATCGATTGCGAACTAACTAAATCGTTACTAATTAGTACTAATTTTGAAAAGTTCTTTTTAAGATAAAAAAAGGTAAAACTAAAACCTAAACGATCATTTGAGATTAAACGGGAAGTTCTAAATAATGTTGCCTATTCTAAACAAGAAAAATGTATTTATAAGTTAAGTTTTATAACATTCCTAATTAAATTTGGGCGAAAAGAATATTTCTGTTTGCTGTAAGTAATTTTCACAGGGAAAATGCGTAAATAAAATTGACTTTTTAAGTCAATAAAAGTCAAAAGGGCAAGTTATTCCAAAAAAGGACAAGTGGCAACCCTAGGTATTTCTGGAATGGAAATTTAATGGCAAATCTACAACTTTGGTTTGAAAATATGTTCCGGCCACCTATGTTTACAAAAATGTCTAAAATGTGCCTAAATGCCTCCATATTCTGAAAAAAAATTGAAAGAAAAGTCACCAACCACAAACCTAATATAGAACTGTTTCGGAAGCCTGAGTCACCCTGTAAATATTCAAAAGTAACTGAAAGTTTAAATCGAAAATCGACGTTGGAGCGATTTTCGAAAACTACTAACGGTTCAACATAAGTATATGTGGGATATTAATTGTATTATTATATTAGACCTTATAACAAAACTCATCTGACGAAAAAGTGTTAATGTAGTATATTAATATGGAGTAAAAATTTTACTAATTACTTTACTTTAACTTTACTAATTAAATTCGTTCCAAAAAACGATACGCCACTGGCCATTAGAACAATCCAAATGGGCCTAGTTGCCGGGGTCGGAAATTTTAGACTTCTCTGTCTCTTCTGTCCTTGTTTGACACATTGGAATGTTTGATACACTACCAACGAGTACTTATGAATGAGATGTTCGGTCTATCTTTATAATGTCTTTGCGAAATACCCATATAGGATTTTTTGGAATAATTAATTAATTATATATTATTAATTTATTAATTTGGATTAATTAAGTATTGACTATTTCCATTCTAAATATATTAAGAACGGTTCCTTGTAACGATTTTTACCAAGAGACATTTTTTACGTAAAAAATCACGGAAATGTACATTTTTTTCACTCAATATATAGCGTTTCTTTCCTTTTAGTGTTTTTCTAAACAATTTTACATATAATTTCTATTTTTAAGTTTCTTCTTTTTCCTTTTTAAATTTTTAATTTGTTAAGCAAACCCTGTATTTATTTTTTATATTTTCTTTTTTTTATATTATTGCTATTTACATGTTAATGCATTAAACAAGGCTGGAACTTGATCAGTTATGCTGTATTTCCAGTCTTTTTGTAATTTTGTATATTTTTCTTTTCTTTATATTTTTGTTTATTGTGTTTTATAATTCTTTTGGTTGTATCTAATCTATGTACACAAATTACAATAAATTTTCTTATTATTATTATTATTAATAGTTTTATACGGGTAAGGAGGAACAGTTATTACTCTTCAATACAGTTTAAACACATGTAGGTAGCGCCCCCTACAAATAGGAGTCATATCGACATCAAAATAAAATTTCTCATGTCAAAAAACTCCCAGACACCAATTTTCATCCAAATATTGACGTTACCTCGGAAATTATTTGGAAAAAATCGAAATAAAAATGAAATTTCTACACCCTGTATCTCCGAAACTAAGCATTTTAGGGCATACATTTATATAGTCTGTCCAACGAGAAGATCCTTGACAGTGATAGATGTGTCTGTCATTTCAATTTCAAAGTAGTTTATTTTATTTTACAAAGAAATATGTTGGTACAACTGGAACGCATAGCAGGATATATTTAAAATTTGATTGACAAGATGACAAGTGATTACTTCAAAATATTGTGAAAAAAACTGTATAAAACTGAAAAAATGTAATCGAGTTATTTTATTTAATAAAAACGGTATGTGTTAATACAAAACAAACAAGAACAAGACACTACATACCAAAAAATATAAAAAAGAACTATTATTTACTTTCAAGCTTTATGAAACTACCCGCATTTATGATTATATTTATCAATATAACTTATGTACAAATACAAATTTGTAATATTCCACAGGAATAAATAAAACAACATAGGTAAATAAAACAAACTATTTTATTAATAATAACACCTACCAAATTTTATACCTTAAAAGGTTGATTAATTAACTTTAATCTTAATTTTTTTAAACCAGTACCTTTTGACATTATTTTTCTGCAGTACTAAAATCCATTATTTACCTATCGTGTGATGTCGATATTTTACAACTACTCAGTTTTTAGTATGTGTTTAGTTTGATCCTTCTACCATATACGAGATGCACTTATCTACGACGAAATGGTATACAAATTTTATCGATGGCAACTTCATTTGGTGTATAAGACTTTCTGCCTGGGCAGCGAGTATTAACCATAAACTGTGCTCTGGGTCTACAGTTAATTTTCACTCGATTTTTCCTCCACTTGACTTCAAAAGACACAAAACACACGTAATAATACGAATCAAAATGCATCATCTTCCAAAACGCAGGGTATTTAACAAAAGTTGACACAAAATTATAACCTATAATTTGCCAAATTATAGGTTATAATTTTTTTAAGACTTTGACAAGCGTCAAAAATGACAAAAATCTAAAGGCGAGTTCATACGCATCGGCGTCCGTTTGTCGTTCATCGTTCCGTCAAACCAATAAAATTGAAATACGATCTGTCATTTTTTAAATAAACCAATAAAACTGGTTAAAAACAACAAGACACGACGTATGACGGATTTATATTTAAACCCATCCATAGATAACTTAAAAATTATTAGAAACTTTTTTTAGTAAAATTGGTATGGGACGTCATCTGCTTTTCTTCTGTCATCGTCTGTCGAAACACAACAGAGTATAACAACTTTTTTACTTATTTTTATTTGCAGAATATGCTGCCCAAGTTTCCGGAATACAGTTCAGACCACCCTGTATTATTTTTTTACCAATTATGGATATTAAATATGGATAAGGCTCATTAAGAACATGCCGTTAAATTGAATATATGAATTTAATTATTCTAAATAAATAAATAAATAAATAAATGCCTTTATTGTCAAAAAATTTTTCAATTTGTAGACAAAGGCAAACTAACAAACAAAGTAAAAAAACAAGGTACACAAACAAACAAACAAAAGATAATACAAAACATTATACAAATAATATTGTCAGTCTTATTGTTAAAATAGACATTTCTAAATGTTTATAATGTCAAAGAACAAAAAATAAAAATAATATTCAAAAATATTTAGCTAGTTTATAGTAAAATATCAATGACCTCTAAATAAATTCATTTCGATGTCATTAGTAATTATAGCAATAGCAAACATTAGACCAGTGAATAAGAGTTCAATGCTTTGCGAAATGAAAAAAATGATGTTATGGATTTGATTTCAAATGGCAGGTGATTGTGCATTTTTTTCGAGTTGTATAATATTGAACTTTTAACTAACTCTGAGCGTGGGGTAGGTAGATAAAGATCTTGCTCCGCGTTCCTGAGTGGATAAGTGTGAGATGGCCTTTCTTGAGAAGCTGATACATGTTTACGTATTAGGCAAACGGATTCAAATATAAATAAGGAAGGAAGAGTCAATATTTTTAATTCTCTAAAAAAGCCCCGGCAATGAGTTCTGCTGTTTAGTCCCAGTGAATATCGAACAGCTCTCTTCTGGAGCTTGAAAATGCGGTCAAATTGAGCCGCACAACACGTACCCCAGAATGGAAGGGCATACCTGAGGTGCGACTCAAAAAGTGCATAATAAACAGTTCTAGCCACTGACAAGTTAAGCTCCTTAGAAACAGACCTTAATGCAAAACAGGCAGAGCTCAATTTTTTCGACAAAGCTTCGATATGTATGTCCCATTTCAGAGAATTGTCCACAACAAGCCCTAAGAATTTTACAGACTTGACGACGTCAATGGTGGTGTTGTTAAGTACAAAAGGCTGCAACGAGTTCTTATACGACAAAGCTTTAGTTTTAGAAATGTTGAGACTCAGGAGGTTCGAATCGCACCAAGATTTAATGGTGATAAAGTCATTTGATATTATTCTATGAAGTGCCGTGATGTCCTTGTTGCTCCAAGTGAAGCTAGTGTCGTCCGCAAAAAGACATATTTTGCCACTGATGTTTATGTTAGCATAACACCAATCAAAATTATCAATATTTCTAGGAATTAAATACGCCTAGAGAAACGTAACCAGTTACGCAAGTCAAATTCTTGGCAATCTATTTCCTAACCTTACAATCATACGTTTTTCGTTTTCCTTTTCATTATATTTCTGGTTTTTTCAAGTAGATTTACGTTGATATTTCAGTGCGAACTAAAAGTTAACAAAAAGTAAGTAGTTTTCATATATTTTTTAGTTATTTTTTATTATTTAGATTAAATAGCGTATATTTAGTATTTGTAAACCTTTCGGATGCTTTAATAAATAGCAGAAATCTGTGAAGACCGTTTAGATTGAAGGTTGCGCAATGTTGGCTAAGTTTGTGCTGGTTCTAGTAAATACATTTCTAACATTTTTAGAAAATTTTGATGTAGGTATGTCTATTACATAGTGTTTCACGCGTTCATTAGGAGATTTTTTGGTATCTAAATTTGACACAAAATTGAATGGTTCAAGAAGTTTGTTTGTTTTAAATATTTTACACATTCTGGCATCTCTGGTTTAACCGAATATAACTCACCAATTTGCTTATTTTAAATAGGAATATCTGCTATACCGGATGCATTTCAAAAGTGGTTCATCTCTATAACTTTTTATTTTTTTTAGATAAAAAAAAAACGAGATTTGGTATGTTAGTATATGACATAAATTAGGATTGATTGATGTATTCAACTGTTTTCGGTCACTTCCTTTCACCGGAAATGACTGTAACTTTTTATTTTTTAATGGCACCCTCGGTATTTTTTTACTTTATTCGATAGAAAATAACACTTTGGATAGAATGACATATTATATGTCAACTTTTGATTTTTTTGCATATTATGGTTTATCTGAAATTGTAACATGCGGTTCATAACGACAATTTGACTCGAAATACCAAGTGTGTGGTACCAAATTTTTCATAAAAAAATTTGACGTTCTCTTAAAATGACATTATATCTAGTTAATCTTCAAAATTAACAATTACTACCTGATAACAATTACTTAATAAGGTAAAACCAAAAAGCTTCAAACTTTCTGTATGATTATTTTTAATTTGTTTTTAATTTTTATTTATGTTATGTTTATTTATGTTATGTTCTTTAAAATTAAAGAAGGGCGATTGCTATACATTACTAACATCTACAGATGCATGAACAATATATTATTTATTTTTATTAAATTGTATTAAAAAATTCTCTTTTATTTTTCATTTAGAGGCTATCCTTCTTTCATTATAATTTAAAAAAAAAGTTATAATTAAAGAAGTATAAAATTAGAAGTATATAAATTATAATGAAAGAATAATATATTTCCCGAAACGTTAAGCATTTTTTTGTCCATTTGGCAAATTTGTTTGTTAGTAAACCACTGTTAACGCAGCATTTTGTAGATTTTTTTTAGACACTCTGTATAAGGTAGTATTATTTTTATTATTGCAACACAATAACTGATCAATAAATAAACTTCATTAAATATTTAGTATTAAAAACATTGATACCCTTGGAGAAATGAAGCTTTAAAATTTTTACTGCAGTTTCACAAAATTGAAAATATTTCAAAAACGGTAAGGTTTAAGTATAATAAACCTTAATCAAATTTACCTTTATTTTAATCGTAGAAACTAAAAATGTAATAATATACTGGGTGTTCCATTTAAAAAAATACAACTTTGATATTTTTTATTTATTTGGGACACTCTGTATATTGTAAAAATATCTTTAAATTGTAGCTCTAATAGTCCTTCAACGAACCCCAAACTTACAATTTGTAAAAATCTCATCGTTTAGCTACAATACTCCGCGTCGTATGTGGTGAACAACCCCTGTATACGGGAGCTATTATTATTATTATTTAATAATATTTATATCAACTCTAACGCTTATTTAGGATTTCAACTATATACCCTCAACAATTCATAGTCTTAATATGAAACAATGGCGATGTTTAAAGACGTTTCTCAGGTTTACATTAACTCCACAATATAAATACATATTAACCCAATTATTTTAATATGGCACGGGCTAAAAGTATGCCCTTTATTTATTCCATTATCTTTATTACGATACAGGAGTGCCGAAATATTTCCCCGATGAACAGTTAAAAGTACGCAGAGGATTTTAACTGAACGCTGAATAGAGTTAAACATTTAATTTTTTTATATTGTTGGTTTTGCGTGAGTTTTGTTTTGTAATTTAGATACTGAAATTCGTTTTCAGAAAAGATTTGACGTGTTTGCTACAAAAAATACTATTTTTTTATAAAATATTAACTGTAACTAATCCTTACCACTTTTATTTTCAGTTAGGAAAAATGTCAAATGGGTATAGTGCTCCATGGAATTTTTCATGGGTGTTGCCCAACGAATTAGCAGCCACGTCATGTCCTCAGACATTAGATGATCTAGAATTTTTAAAATCAGAAGGTAACCATAATGATTCATTCATATCTAGGATATTTTATAATTTATAAAAAAGTCAGAACACTTGCATTTTTCACACTCAATAAAAATATCTAATTGTATTTAGTAAAATTATATAAGAGTTTCTTGCCTTGAACTGCTAATATAGAAATTAATTCCACGCTGTGTTCGTCATAATGTGGATCAACCTGCTCTCACTACCGGTTTCGGGGCCCTACCCCATCATCAGGTGAGCTTGGGTCGTTTCCACAAAACGACGAGCACAGCGCAGAATATATAAATACGACTTCTCGTAAAGTAGCGGTAAGATATTAAGTCCCGCATCGCGAGATAGCAGCCTGCGTGCAATGGTAGTACTTCCGTACCACCGAGGCACAACTATCGATAGTAAATAAAGGCTTTTTTCGGCTAGCCCAAAATTAATAATGGAAAATACATTTCTTGCAGTTTTTAGGTATATAATAAAATTATACAGAGTTGTTCACCACATACGACGCGGAGTATTGTAGCTAAACTATTAGATTTTTGCAAATTGTAAGTTTCGGGTTCGTTGCAGGACTATTAGAACTACAATTTAAAAATATTTTTACAAGATACAGAGTGTCCCAAATAAATAAAAAATATCAAAGTTGTATTTTTTTTAATGGGTTACCCTGTATATTATTACATTTTTAGTTTCTACGATTAAAATAAAGGTAAATTTGATTAAGATTTATTATACTTAAACCTTACCGTTTTTGAAATATTTTCAATTTTGTGAAATTGCAGTAAAAATTTTAAGGCTTCATTTCTCCAAAGGTATCAAAGTTTTTAATACTAAATATTTACTGAAGTTTATTTACTGATCAGTTATTGTGTTGCAATTATAAAAATAATACTACCTTATACAGAGTGTCTAAAAATTTATTTTAAATAATTATTAGCTTCAAACGGCAATAACTTGTTTTATTTAAATGGAACACCCTGTATATTTTACGAGAATCAGATGCACAATTTAATTGTCTATCAAATTATATTATACCATTTTTTACCTATCTCTTTAAGTTTCTGTGGAAAATACATTTTCTTGTAATTTAGAACTTATTTATCAATATACCCATGGACTATTGACATTTTAGATTATTTTTAAAGATGTACCACATTTTTAAAGAGTACAGATACTAATATTGTCGATATAATTTGTTTATTTTATTAAAAAATAAAAAAAAACTGTTTAAATATTTGTTAAAGAGGACCAATTAATATGATTTCAGTATTCAAACTACATTAACTGACTGTTTGCGTTGATTAATAATAATTGCTCCAAATACTAAAAAACTGAATTTTGTATGGGCATTAGACAGTGTGATAAAAAGTAACACCTTAAAAATGATATTTCATTTTTTAATAAATGCTTATTTATAACTACAGAGACTTTAATTTGATAACTTATTATTATATTGATTTCTGACTCAAATCCACATTTATTTATAATAATTTAATAACGAACACAATTAAGTATGTAATTAATTAGTATATGGGCGCAAATAATGGTGTTATATTTAATTAATGGTATACTCTTTTATAAAGATTTAAATAGTTTTCTTTTTGCATACAAATGGGCTAGTAATATTATCGTTTTGCTAAAAACGATAATATTACTAGTCTGTACATTTTGTACATTTGTTGCTTTAAAAACAATCTAAAATGTCAATATTCCATTGATATATTGATAAATGAGGTCTAAATTATAAGAAAATGCATTTTATACGAAAACTTGAAGGGATAGGTAAAAAATGGTATAATAAATTTGATAGACAATTTAATTGTGCATCTGATTCTCCTAAAATATACAGGGCATTCTATTTAAATTAAAGAAGTTGTTGCCGTTTGAAGTTAATAATTATTTAAAGTAAATTTTTAGACACTCTCTATAAAGTAGTATTATTTTTATTATTGCAACACAATAACTGATCAATAAATAAACTTCATTAAATATTTAGTATTAAAAACATTGATACCCTTGGAGAAATAAAGCTTTAAAATTTTTACTGCAATTTCACAAAATTGAAAATATTTCAAAAACGTAATGTTTAAGTATAATAAACCTTAATCAAATTTACCTTTATTTTAATCGTATAAACTAAAAATGTAATAATATACAGGGTGTTCCATTTAAAAAATACAACTTTGATGTTTTTTATTTATTTGGGACACTCTGTATCTTGTAAAAATATTTTTAAATTGTAGCTCTAATAGTCCTTCAACAAACCCCAAACTTACAATTTGTAAAAATCTCATCGTTTAGCTACAATACTCCGTGTTGTATGTGGTGAACAACCCTCTATATTCTGCGCTGTGCTCGTCGTTTTGTGGAAATACCCAAGCTCACCTGATGATGGGGTAGGGCCCCGAAACCGGTAGTGAGAGCAGGTTGATCCACATTATGATGAACACAGCGTGGAATTAATTTCTATATTAGCAGTTCAAGGCAAGAAACTCTTATATAATTTTATTATATACCTAAAAACTGCAAGAAATTTATTTTCCATTATTGTATTTAGTTAGAGCCATTCAGGGTGGTCCGAACTGTATTTCGAAAAGTTCAGCAGCATAATCTGTCGATAAAAATAAGTAAACATGTTCGTATAAATGTATGTCCTAAATTGATTAGTTTCGGAGATACAGGGTGTAGAAGTTTCATTTCTATCCCGTGGTAAAAATTCCTACGAGTAATGGTACTCGTGATGTTTGAAATCGACAATACCTGTCATCATTGACATAAATTAAACATGCTGACCAATTAGTTATTAGACTGAATTGATAAATTTGAAATTTTTTTGTGTCAAAAGTTCAACAGAAACTGTTTTATCATCATTTTTTCTCAGAAAATGTATGATTAATTAAAAAAAAAAATCCCAAATTTATTATTTTAGTCAAGGTATTGACTATTTCCATTCTAAATATCTTGTGAACGGTTGCTGGTAGCGATTTTTGCCAAGAAACATTTTTTACGTAAAAAGTCACGAAAATGTATATTTCTTCACTCAGCAGCTTTATACAGGTACGCACGAAAAGTTATTACTCTCCAAAACAGTTAAAACACATATAGGTAGCGCCCCCTACAACTAGGAGTCATATTAACATCAAAATCAAATTTCGCATGTCAAAAAACTCCCACATACCAATTTTCATCCAAATATTGATGTTACTTTAGAAAATATTTCGAAAAATTCGATATAAAAATGAAACTTCTACACTCTGTATCTCCGAAATTAAGCACTTTAGGACATACATTTATACGAACTTTTTTTGCTTATTTTTATCTGCAGAATATGTCGCTGAAGTTTCCGGAATACAGTTCGGACCACCCTGTATATTAATTAAATTTTAGGTATACGGCACTTAGTAACCTTATCACCGGAATACATTCCTCCAATTAGACATTTTAATGGTATTAAATGGTCGTACATTCCTATAGAAGAATTCGAACCGCCTACCTTAGAAGATATGACGAATTTTATCAAAATATGTCAAGAAGCTAAAGAAAATAACGAAGTAAGTTTTTAATTTTTACAAGCTTTTACTACTGTTAAAAAATTGTGTTGTAGTAATTTCTGTTTCTTTTAGGCTGTGGCAGTTCATTGTAGAGCCGGCAGAGGCAGAACAGGCGTCATGGTAGCTTGTTACTTCGTTAGGTTCATGGATATGGCACCGGATCGCGCCATAACGAATATAAGAATGATGCGTCCGGGGTCTGTTGAAACTCATAAGCAGGAAAGAGCAGTACGGGATTACAGAGATCTACTAAGATCCAAATAAAGTGTAGTTGAAAATTTAAGAAGATATTAAGGAGACACAAGCAATAAAAGAAGAGGAACATAAATAAATTAATATTGAAAAATATTTTTTATAATCTGAAATAAACTACTGAAAACAATTATCACATATTTTCTAAAAAATAGTAGTTTTTTTTTCTAAAAAATAGAAGTAGTTCAGTCAGTAAAAGCGAAAACAATACATAATTATGAAGTCGATCGGCCGCCATAAGGATATATTGGTTACAAATATGCAACTAAATAGTCGACCGATTAAAAATTGCCTGTCAGCGCATAGCCTAACGCTACGATATAATCATATGTTGAACCGATCGGCTCCATAAGAATGTATTGTTTTCACTTTTGCAACTAAATAGTCGGCCGACTAAAAATTACATGTCCGTGCGTACCCTAATAATTATCCTACTAAAGTACAATCTACAAGTTGAGCGTTTATATACTCGCCCGGTAGGTACCGAGTGGGCGTGGCAAAATCTAGCCAACCGAGTCAGAGCCCACTTTATCTTTCTCCACTTGAAAAGTCGAATTTTCAGAAATCATTAACCGTAGGTATAGGTTAAATGATTTCTAATTTTCTGAAAATTCGACTTTTCAAGTGGAGAAAGATACGTCTAAATATTTTTCAATACCGTTTGATAGAGAGTTATTCCGTGGTCTAAAAGGAATTTTTAAGAATGTCAATTATAAACTTGTGTATAGTGCTAATAATAAATTACAACAATTACTAGGTAATCCAAAGGATAAAACACCTCCACTGGAAAGGTCGGGTATTTATGAAATTTCTTGTAAAGATTGTAATCAGAAATATGTTGGGCAAACTAGAAGATCAATATTAACTAGATTTAAAGAACATTTAGCTCAGATAAGATATGGTAGACCGGATAAATCTTGCGTTGCCGAACATATTGTTGATAATGAACATTGTATAGATCTTAATAATTTAAAATTAATTAAACAAGTCTCAAATTACAGGCAATTAGATGCATATGAAAGCATCAGAATTAATAAATGTAAAGATAGTATGAACAGAGTCAACGGTCCAATTCCTTCAAGTTCTTTGTTCCTACTACTCTAGTGGCGGAAATTAACTGTTACGCTCAGTGGGCTCTGACTCGGTTGGCTAGATTTTGCCACGCCCACTAGGCGAGTATATAAACGCTCAACTTGTAGATTGTATTTTAGTTTATAATCATCTGCTGATGATGCTAACATGGTTAGCGAAACGCGCGTCCAGTGTAAAAGTAAAAGTGTTTTGGTGTATTGTGGTGATTTAGTGTAATTTTATTTTACTTATTACGAGTTACAATAAACAAAGAAGTGTAAATCACAAACCTCACAATTGTGAAAATATTTTTTACTTGGTCTTAGAATATGTACGTACGAATTTGCCTAGAAACATTACATATTAAAATGACATAAGTAAAATAAAAAAATAACATAAATAAAATAATAAAAAAATCAAAAAGTGTAAATCATATACCTCAGAATTATGATATTACAATTATAGAAATGATGAATGAAATTATCATCCTATGTAATTATCGTCTGAATGGCCAAATTATAAAGAATGTTAGAAATCTTGCATTGATTAAATAAAAAGAGCTCAAAATCAAACCAATTTATACAACAAACATAATGAGATCATTACAGAAAATAGTGTTGAAAACAGCTTTTCACAAGACTTAATTTTTCTTTGTTCTAAATGTCATCATCAATAAACGTTTTTGGTAGTTCTTAAACGCGTTTCTTTCTGCGAGTTTGTCCTTAACTCGGCCACAAGAAATCGATTCATTTCTAAATCCAGTTTAGACACCCCAAGCTAAACTCTAGAAAAATTATGTTTTTAATGGAAGAAATGTTCTTTATTGCACTTGCACCAAATGCGTGTTCAGAAAACCTATATTTTCAAGAATGTCTGAAGGACGAAAAACCTCTAGCAGCAATTACTGTTCTGAAATTTAACTTGTTTTTCTTTATTCTTTTCATTTTTAACGAAAGGTTTTCATTTTTAACCTAAGGCTAGGTCGCGACATTAGGAAATACAAAGAAATTACATTAAGGGTGTAGCTGAGTTGAATGGCTATATTTCCCCATTAGTTAATAAATTTATTATACAGGGTGTCCCAGAAATAAGTGCAAATATTTTAACTGGTAGTATAGGTCAACCCCAGAAACACGCATATGAGGTTTTTTTTGCGAAAAAAAAATGTTGAAAATTTAAAATTTTTCTTGACATTTTCCGGAAAATTTGAAAGAACTTTTTAGTGCCACTTGTTTATTCACCTGAAATTTCCCTACGGTGTATCTAAACTTTGCAGTGTTGCAACCTCCTATGTTATCCACATTCTACATAGTTCGGCGGAACATAGTTCTACATTTATAAATTCATAGACAAATTTCTACTCAAAAAATTAGGAATGTTAAATTTAATCTTTTATCAGTGCTCATTATTAATAATTATAGAAAAAAAAACACATTAATTATTTTTATTACTTACCCTTTCAATGAAAACTTAACAAAAACCACCGAAAATTAACTAAAACATTACGTTTATGACGTTTACGAAAATCTTTGTTATGCTGCAAAATAACTTTATTTTGGAATAAATTTAATAAAATAATTCATATTATTCACAATCATACATGTTTCACTCAACAATTATTGACAACGTATTTTGTTTTTTCGCTATTTTTTCGATGTATTTCGACAATTCCATCGACAGCCTAACCGGTCGTTCTTTTCTCTGGCCTAACCGTCAGCCAAGAACCGCCGCGTGTGTGACTGGTCCTTTGAGTCGCCGGTCGCCGCGCCGTCGTGGCGGGCTTGCGTCAGACGACGATGTAAGCAACGTTGCCGTAGTTACAACAATTTCAAATTCAAGACATTCGAAGCAATCAAATTCGTATTAAATTTTAAAAATAAAACAGAGAAACATGAAAGGAAATAAACAAAACAAAAATGAATTGATTATTCGTCGGGCTGTTTTTGATGTATTGAATTCTGAATTACGATAAACATTTTAGAAATTTCTTTTTTGTGACCCTATCAGTAACCAATTCATTTGTGTTTTGTTTGTTTCCTTTCATGTGTTCTGTTTTATTTTTAAAATTTAATAAGAATTTGATTGCTTCGAGTGTCTTGAATTTGAAATTGTTGAAACTACGGCAACCTCGCATGACGCAAGCTCGACACGGCGGCGCGACAAAGGAGCAGTTACCAGTGATGCGCCGCTCTCTTGGCCGGTGGCCGACGCGACGATTGGGCTGTCGATGGAATTGTTGAAATACATAGAAAAAATAGCGAAAAAACAAAATATGTATTTAAAATTGTTGAGTGAAACATGTATTTCCTTAGATTGAAAGTAGTTCGTAAAGTGGCGGTGAGAGACAATAATTCTCAACATTTATTCATTCAGAAAGGTATTCAAAGTAATGTGTGCTTTTCAAGGAGTTTTGTAAATCAGTGATTCAAATTGTGATGAGGCCTATATGAAAATAATGTGTTAAAAATGGGGACACTGTTATTTTAGTAGTTATTATAATAACTACAGCATGTACAAGTAAAGCAGCACAGTGAAGTGTATTTTAGTTAAGTGTATATCGAAAAAGAGAATTGTCACAGTTACAATCTGTCATAAGTATCTTTTTTAATGTTGGGTAAGTTTTTTAATTTAACTTTTTTAACACATTTTTTAACACATTATTAAACATTTAACTTTTAATTTATTTTATGTAATAATATCACAATCTTAAAAATGTAATGAATCTCTGCAAACTCGTCAGGTGTTGTGATTTTATGACTTACTTTTAACATACACTTTCTTGTCCCTATGGCAACACAGTGCGTCGAATTAACTGAAATTCGGGCTTGATCCGGGCAATTGGATGTAGTTGGCGATATCTGCCGGCGGTTCTCAAAATGTTGCGATTATTTTTTTAAATTTTCAAAGTTAAATAACTCGGTTATTTTCAATTTATTTTAAAAATGGTAAAGAGAAAATATGTTTATTTTGACCAGATCTACCACCCCTTAAAATATCTGCACTCACTTCTGGGACACCCTGTATAGTAAACGCCACGAATGTTTGGGAGTGATTCATTGGTCGCTACCATGTGAACTAATCGGTTCAAGGTCACATAAAACTTAATTCCAGTGCCGTGGTGTTTCAAGTCATATAATAATCAATATATAATCTGTTGTAATTTGTTGTTTTAACTGTCAAAGTCTTGTCAAAACATATATTTGGTTATAAATATAAAATGGAATGCCCCATTGGTCGCACTGCAAGCACACCAATGGACTGACGCATAAAAACGAATCAATCAAAGAAAAATTTACGTTTTTAATGTAAAAATGATAGCGCGCGTGTCGATTCTAACTTCATCAAGCGATGAATCACTCCCAAACATTCGTCGCGTTTACTATATTATTTATTCTCTGCCGGTGCTGTCACTATCGGATAATATCGTAGACAACTGGTATATACAAATACAGGGGTTTAAATAGAGAGTATACGAAAAATTTATTATATAATTATTTTAAAAGTGTTAGGAAGTATAATTTGTGAAAATTCTAAAAATAAAAATAAAAAAGTAAATATTTTGATATCTTCAGGTCTCTAACTTGTATTATAATTTATTATTCCAACTAAAAAAAAAATTTAGATGAGTTTAGCTACGGTAGCGAGCATAGCTTTACGCACCGATTTTGCTAGTGGGGTCATAATTGGGGCTATTTTGGCTATAACGAAATTTTTAAAGGACATAATTTTAGAAGATGTTCATAAAACATTTGATTCATTGATTTATCGATTTATTGATTTATTGATTTATTGACTCATTGACTCATTGATTTATCGATTTATCGATTTATTGATTTATTGATTTATCGATTTATCGATTTATCGATTTATTGATTTATTTACTCATTGACTCATTGATTTATCGATTTATTGATTTATTAATTTACTGACTTATTGATTTATTGATTCATTGATTCATTTATTTATCGATTTATCGATTTATCGATTTATTGACTCATTTACTCATTGACTCATTGATTTATTGATTTATCGATTTATCGATTTAT